TCTGGACAGCAGCCAGAGTGGCCAACCATCCCACAGGCCTGACTCTGTCCCCCAGAGAGTGAGTGGATGTTCACATGCTCAACTGGGACAGACCCCTCACCCTACTGGCCAGACAGAACATGCTGCCAACAAGCTGGTGCCTCTCGGGTCATCATTCCTCACGTTCAGCTTGTGTCCACGGCCATCGAGGCCTGCACTGGCTTACATCCTGCTCCTGTACTCAGCTCCAGCCCAAGGACATATGCCTTCCCACCCACCCTCTATGCCCCACAAGGCCTCAGACAGCCTTGGCCAAGCACCCAATTATAACACATGCTTTTCAAACATTAACTAGCAAAAACTGGAGACTGAGGCTATTGGTGACCACAGGCATGTGCCAAAAGCCTGGTAACTCCACATGGCTGAGGCAGCTGCTCTAGAGTCAATCAAGAAGATTCTGTAGAGCAGTCCTACTCCTAGCCAGTGCTGTCCCACAGCAGTCCCTCCATTGCTGGGACCCTGACAGGCAGCCCAGATAGACCTGGGACTTAGGCTCCTACAGCCCTGGAAGGAGACAACAGGTAAAAACCAAGAAGAATCTTGAGAAGGTGAGGGGAAGGGTACAGGGCTCTGGGTTGAGGCCAGGCTCATCCAGCACACTAGGCCAAGGGTCATGAGATTAGGAAAGCTAATGGTCAACTCGACTTGGAGGTTAAAACACAACTTCAGGGTGAAAGGAGCTAACGGGGTGTGTGGACATGAAAGGTATGCCCTGATGGGAATGTAGAGCGGGGTCTGGGGCAACCTTGCAGGAGAGGACGATCAACTGTCCAGTCTTCAGTCCAAGTGGCCCTCCTTTAAAGTTGTGGGCCATGGGGTGGGAAAACCACACACAGGGGTAGAGCCTGGGTCAGGGTTATACACAGCAGAAGCCCACAACTGTGCATGTCAGCCAAAGCCAGAGAACGCTGAGCAGCCCCGATCAGGAGCAAGGGGCCATGGGGCCCAGGGCTAGGTTACAGGCACCTAGGGCTGGTCCACAAGAACAGGTGGTCTATTCTGGGAGAAGGCAGGTCAGGGCTGGGCACACAGGAGTAACAGGAAGCACTGGAGTGAGCCCACTGGGGTCTGGGTGGCCTGAATTCTCACTTGCAATACACAGCTCCACATTTACTACCATGTGACCTCAGAGAGAGACCTTTTAGAGCCATCTCTATCCCCAGGTGCTAGCATTTCATAGCACTGAGCACAGGTTTGTGCTATGGATATCACTTCCTCTATGCTATCAATTGGCTCTGGCCCACCAAACTCTGTTTCTTACATGGCAGCCCCTCACCCAGGGAATTCCTATAGGCTAGAGTAGTGGGGTTGTGGCAGGATCCAGGGCTGAAAACTGGGAATGTCCAGGGTGATCCTGGCACTGTAAGGCCCGGGCCCTGGCAGTCCCACCCCTATGCTAGTCACACCAATTGCTCTTCCAGGTATGGCGCACATCTGAGTCATGGATCTGGTGCTTGTCGGCCTGCTCATCTAAGAAGTCAAACATGTACTTGATGGCCAGAGGCAGGGCTGAGCCACGGTGCGCTGTGCTGAAGATGGTCTCAAACAGGTCATCCACGAACTTTTGTAGTGTTCCCTGCAGGGCAAGTAGTGAGCTTGAGGGCTGCCCAAGGCATCAACCTCCTGGACAGGTCTGTAGGAACTCTGGACTTGGCCATGCATTCTGGGCATCTTCCCATACACCTACCTTGGTAGCCAGCAGCCTTGTCAGGTAGATCTCAGAGACCATCTTGCTGCCACGGTCGCCTTCACGTTGGTCCAGGTGGTCGTGGTTCTTCACCAGGTGCCACAGTTTTGTTCCACTTTCCAGGTCTGGCGTGATCATGGGTGTTCGTGAGCGTAGGCTGTCGGGGCTACTGGCTGTACGCAGCATGCTCTCTGCAGGAATAGCCTGTTAGCTGGCAGGGCTGTGTCCTTCACCCATGGCCAGACCCTGCCCTACCCCAGCCAGTTTTCCTTCAGAGGGCACCAAGGCTCCTGCTAGGTATGTTGGGGATGGCCACTGTGGTCACATGAGCAGCATGAGGTCCCTTGTTTATCGGCTATGGGGACAGGCATTGCTTCAGAACCAAAGGGAAGGCCAAGAGCCACATGTCCCCCTTAGTCCTGGCATCCAACACACTGGCAGAGCACTAGGAATGGCATCCCATCCAGGTCCACTGCCCACCCACCACCTGCTGGCAACCCTGCAGGTCCCTCACCATATCTGCTGAGGGAATTAGTGAAGGTGGAGGAGTTGGAGATGTTGTAGGCAGACGTCTGCTTGGGTACTAGTGCCACCGATGACCCATCCGTCACCTGTGGGCAGATATTAAGGATACAAGTCGCAGGATGCCACTAAGATGTCTTGCCCAATCTGGGGGAGGGGGGTGGATCTAAAGACCTCCTGGAGGCAAGTCATGCCACCACTCTGAATCTCCACTGGAATGGTTCCAGGGCAGATAATCACTTGGGTAGGGTACAATCCAGACCTGACTAGGCATGTTCTAGTTTAAGGGGAAGAAAGCCCACGCAGAGGTCCCTGGATGGTAGGGTCACCTAATAGTGAGCCAGTGTGTTCAGCCTCTTCCAGTCGTTGTCAATTTTGGTGGTGACATCCTCATCCTGAAGGATGATGCGTGCCATGCGGCCCTGGCGCCACTCTACAGGAAGTAGGGTATTAGAGGTGGGACCCCCCCTTCCTCTGTCCTTTTCTCCCTCCCTCCCTTCTATCCAAGCTCCTCATTCTACTGGCACATAGAACAAGGGAGTGGGGGAAGACAGGAAGGCAGGGAGGGGCTTGCTCTGCATTTGAGGAAGAACCTGGGATACAGCCAGAAGCTGAGGCTCCTCCACTGAATAGCTACATTCTCAGGCTCAGAGGTGGCCTCTCATCTGGTGCCTTGATGCACCCAAGAGGTAGGCCCTGCTCTACCCAGTCTCAGCTATTCCAGCCAAATCTCCTGCAGGATCCCAGAACTGTGTCCCATATCTTTTGACTTTGCCCAGTGCAAAGTTCTGTTCCTTCAGCCCTGACAACCCTGGCTTCCCAGAGACTATCAAACCCACACCCTGCCTCTTCTCCATAGGTCTC